CATCGTCAACGCAGTCGCCTCTAGTACTAGTAGTAGGGTATTTTCGGTATTTTCTAAACTTTTTCCTTTTTGTTTTTTTAGTAAGAGCTGAATTGCAAAAATGCCCCTAATTTTGCCTCACTTTCAAAAATCTCAATTCTATAAAGGGGTCGTTCTTTTTAGGATTAGTCTGATGTAGAAGCTGAGAGGAGGGGGCAGGTGAATTCGAGGGGTGTTCGATACAAAGACGATGGATTGATGGTCGTTGAGGAATTGGGTTTTGAAATTGATGTAGAAGAACGGAATACTAGAAAAGGATAAAGGTAAGAGAGGAGAGGGAATGGAGAAAATGGAGTCGCGGAGAGTGAAGGCGTAAGCTAAAAATAATATAACGCGTACTTAGTAAAGTTTAACTCTAGTAATCTTTTAAAACTATATTTTAAATATGGGAGAACAAACTACAAAACAAGTTCATTATTAAATAGAATTTTCAACCACTTAACCACTTGAGAATTCCAATCTTTCATTAATTTTTCTTATTTGAGTCATTGAGACAGCACAATATTTAACGTGCTTATTTAAATATATTAATAAATATATAAAAACTAAATATATCACATGATATAAATAATTTATTTAATATATATATATATATATATTACAACTTAATACTTTTATTCATAATATATTTAATTATTTAATTATAAAAAAATGAATTGGACCTAGGTTTATTCTAGGTATTTCAAAGCAAACTCACAACTATAAAGCTAACTTCAAATTCTGAAAGTCTAAAGAAGAATTGATACGCGCTCTAGCCAAAGGAATTAGATCATCGAGGCAGTATATGCCTTCCATTCGAGGTAGCACTACTAGCCGACCTCACCAATCACCACCATGTTGAGTCTTAAGCAATTTCGATCACTTGATAGGCCTTTTATTTGATAGTGAGGCGGCAACTGTCTTCGAGATAGTAGACTCGGTAAAACGACTAAAGAAAATTTCCAAAATTTGAGTTGGATCACTAAATCCCCTTTTTGGGATCAAATTTTCAGCCCAAAAGCAATTGTTGACAAAACCATAATAGGAATGGAGACTTTTTCCTTGAACGGGTGCGAAATCAATGAGAAAAAGGCCCTACTCACTACAAAACTACACTCAGACATCAAATTGACTAACCTGTAGTGATTCTATCAAATAATGTACATAAGCGACCTACAATGCTAAACTTTGTTCTCGAATACAATGTCAATCTTCTCTGATTAATGCAAATATTAGTCCCTTACAATAACAACCATTTAGACTCAATTATCTCAAATGTTGTCAACTAGACATTAATCTTTCATATCTTCATCTCGGAGATAACGTTGTAGACCAACTAATCCTTTTTCCTTCAGATAATAATGTTGTAGATAGGGTTGGCAATGACAACAGGGCCACATCCTCGTTCCTAGGAATCCATCCTAAGTGACATCTCGGGAAGAGCATCTAGGTGTGGAGGCAACTAGTCGAGATACTAGCCCTTTCGTGTTTTGGAGAAGTAAGGTATCCTAGTGAATCACCTTTTCTTAAGGTCTGTGCTAGAGGAGAGCCTTATATCCCTACGAAGGTGGGCAAATGAAACGTGATAAGGCCTCAGTGGGTCGGATTCCCTTCCATTTTGAAGGGGGACTCATGGGGATTCTCTTACCCTTAAAGGGGTCAAGACCCACCAGTTATTTCGTTATCCTTATTTGTAGATCAAGGGACTCGAAGACAATGTTGTAGACTTAATCAACCCTGAACTTTCTTCACCTCGAAAATAATGTTGTAGACCGACCTTGAACTCTCTATCTTCACCTAGAAAGACAATTTTGTAGACGACTCATCCAATCTTTCATCCTCAAAGACAATGCCTAATTAATCGTTGTTCTTGAAGACAATACCAACCCTTAAATGGTCATCCTCCAAGATGGTGCTCTAGAGACCCTCAAATTGTCAATCCTCGAGTAGGATGCCCTAGAACAAAGGACCCTCCAAAGTTTTCTTTTTTTATTTTTATTTTTAATTTATTTTGGTTTTAGGTTTCTCACGTATTTACAAAATTTTAGAAATTAAAATATTTTAAAATTTTATTTTTCATTAAAAAAATTATTTGGTGGGGTTTTCGTTATTGATGAGACAATCCAAAAAAACACAATCGTATTTTACCTTTAAGAAAATAATTAAATCAAATAATCCGAATAATTTAAAATGTGCGCATTAAGAGTAACAAATAATGTCACATAGCCCATAACATTACAAATCCAAAATTAATTTACGAAACGGTAAAAAAAGAGGAAAAAAAAAGAACACTGTATAATGGATAGAAATTTACCAAACTTATTGTTGATATTTTTGGAGTGAAAAAAAAAAGAAGAAGAAAAAAAAGTTCTAATCACTATGATTCGAATTCCGAAATCCCACCTTTTTTTTTTTGGAAAACAAAAGCTGTGGAGACCTATATGGAGAGAAAAAGATAAATTAAAAAAATAATTTATTTTTTTCAAACAAATAATAAGGTAAGGGTTTGCCTGTCCAATGTACTATAAATAATATGTGCGACCACAAATTTAGTATATCTGTTGATTTCGAGTTTCAAAGTTAAAAATTTAAAATTTCGAATCCTAATCCTTGATTTGAATTCGTTTGATTTTAATTTTGGATTTCAGAATCTTAGATTTTATTTTAACTGAAAATCTAACATTATTCTTCAGATCTTCCAACAAATTTCAATTTCAATATTTGATTTTAAAATTAGAATTGACTTCCTTTAAATTAAAAATATTTGCATAAAATTTGGATTTGAACTCACAAGTTTTTAGTCGGTGTCTTAACTTTTAACCATTTTTTTAAAGCTACTTATTTTCTAAATGATATTCGGAATTTGAAAATTAATTCCAGTGGATTAAAGTATTACTTTTGAAACTTCAACATTTTTTTCCAAGGAAATGTAACAGTGAGGGATTTGGACTCATGACCTCCTGTTCAAAAGATAAATAATCATTGTTGCTAAGTGAAGCGTCATCGGTTAAAAAAGTGTATTTTATCATTTCTTTTTATTTAGACAAAAAGAGGAGAGAGTGAAATTATATAAAAAAAATAAAATAAAATAGACATCCCCATGATGGGGATAATTTCTTTCCTTCGTTTTTATTTTTATTTTTGTTTTTTATTTTTTTAGAATATAAAATGTATTTAAAAGGTAGATTCGGTTAAATATTTATTTTTTAAGAATTTCTACTACATATAATATATTTAATATGAATTTTCAATGCATCACTGCCTTTTTCACATTTTTTCAAATATGGTATAAGTGTGAGTTTTATGTTTTCATTAATTTTGTAAAATTTTAACCTTTCTTATATATATTTATTGTACGTTATTTATGCAAATACCTCTTCTTTTTTTTTTTTTTGCTTACTTCGTGAGAAAGAAAAATCAGTGTAAAAATCAGAAAAATTAGCTATATAAATATTTTGAAATTTGTAAGACCTCCACACTTATAAATGGTAATATTCTAAAATTAAAGATAAAGGAGATTATTTATAAAACTTCAGAACTAAAAATGTATTTATCTATTTCATGAAACTATTTGTAAAACCTCCACTCCATGCCCTTTCCAGTTTTCACCACGGCCTATCAAAATTTGGGCCAACATTTCAAAAAGGGGATTTGGGCTAGAATTTGACATCATACAGTTGGGCTAACATGATACTATTGGCCCACTTTATATGGGCCTAAAAGCAAATTTGTTACCCTGTTGCATTTCATTTACCAACTAAAATCTACGCAATTAGTCGTAATTTACGATAATTAGGCTTAAATACTACTTTTATTTTTATTTTTTTGTAATTTCGACTTTGTTATTACTTTTAAAAGRTCTATTTTGGTTTATATACTTTTTTAAAAACAACCGTTTTGTAATTTTGTACAACACTTTCATTCAGCCACTAAGCTTCTTAAAATACAGTTAATACAATAGTCACTAAACCTTTTAAAATACATACATTTGTATTGAACAGTTTTCATTCTGTATAATTTTGTATTAAAATTTTATAAATAGGATCAATTATAAAAATACATTGGCCAAAACGGACATTTTAAAAATACAAATATGAAATGAGCAAAATTGAAAATACAATGATTAAGATGAATCAAAGTCAAAATGAGAATAATATTGAAACAAGATAATAACTACAGTTTCACATTTTGAAATTTATTATAAAAAAACCACTTTTTGAAATTTAATATATTCATAAACATGTTAAACTCTAGACTTCGCTTCCTCTGTAAAATTCTTCTGCAGAACGAGTACAAATACAGCTATCAAAAAATTCAACATCTAAAAATGCCGATTATTCAAATGGGAACTAATTTAAAATTTTACGGCATGCTATTTATCTGTATATAAAATAAGTAAACTAATTAGCAGCCCCTGTCACGCCTGAGATTCCTCATATCTGGACCTTACACGAACGATTTGAAATGCAAGAAGCACATATTCTTATGAAAACCCAAAGAAAAAAAAAAGCCTTTCCAGTTTAAATGATTAAACAAAAACTGGCACTGATGCCAATTCGGTAAGCTCGAATCATAAAGAAATGTCAAATTGGAAAAAGAAACTGGACCCACAGAATTTATGCCAAAGCAAATTTTACAACCTTCATCAATATATATATATATATATATATGGTTGCCATTCTTATGAATTCCCCAACTCAAACCAGAGAGAGCAAAATATTTATAGAGAGAGAGATGGGCTGGTTGATAAGAGAGAGAAGAGGCCCAGCATGGAAACAAGGATGGGCAGAACAGGCATTATCTTCCATGACTCCACCACCAAGGCCTCTGCTTGCCATTCTTGGAATCTTGGTCATTTTGCTATCTGTGTCATCATATTCAACTTACAGGTCCCAGGTGAAGAGAACAAAGATCAACTTTAACCTGTTTTTCCTGCTTTTGCCTCTATTGTTTGTCTTTGTTGGAAACTCGATCGTTAGATATGGCCGTGTTGTAATCATCTCCCCGAGAACGAAGCTCCAGCCGCTTTATGCCACCGAAGGCGGGGGCGCCTCACCTTGGGGGGCGGCGGTTTTGCTGGTGGTGTTGTTGGTATTGATATCTTATCAGCCATACTTCAAATCTAGATGGTTTCCAGCCATATGGAGACCATATCATTATTATTAGATTATGACAGTTCGGCTTTGAATTGTCAATAATGAAGGCCCCTGTTGTTGTATGTTCCTCCTCAGCCGAAAAAGATTGATCATGATGTAATTTTGGAGAAGAAATGGCATATCAAAGAAGAAAAGGTTTATATTAGGCTGGTTAGAAGTGATTGACAATTCTTGTTTACTTGTAGAGATAAACAGACAGATAACAAGAATTATCTGCAGAAAAAACAACTTACACTTACATGGTTGACTGCTTCCTTCTCGATAGTTCAACAAATACGTTATGAGAGTGTGCCAACTTACACGAACATACTGCTCCTCAGTTTGGGAGGTTTGAAAGACGACGTAAACAATCTCGGGGTCCGTGATTCGCACATAATATCTCTCTTTCGTTTCGAACTCCCAACTTCCTGATGACCAAAAAGATATTGTTAAAAGGCAAACTTATATGAGGAAAGGGAAGGAAAGAAAAAGTGCATGTTCGTGAAATGTAAATCAAATGAATATTCATTCTCTGTTATGTTCCATTGTTATGTCAGATTAAGACAATCTAAAATATGGTCTCATCTAATGGCAAGAGTGATGCTATCACCACTGAAATTGGGTTCAATCACTTAAATTCCAGTAGCAATCTCGCTGCAACTGTGAATTCAATTTTACATGGCAACTCAAAGTTGATATTAGCCAAGGAAGGGAGACAGATAGCAAAGAGGGCATCTTTAGCAAAAAATCACTCAATTTCTACCCTTCTCCCTTTTTGTACTTCTTTTAAAGTTTTTAATAATTAGTCATGAATCTTAGTTTACTTGTGTTCTGGATTTTAGTTTAGTCATGAATCTTAGTTTAGTAATCTGGATGCAACTATGAATTTAATTATACATGGTAACTCAAAGTTGATGTTAGCCAAGGAAGGGAGACAGATAGAAAAGAGGCATCTTTTAGCTAAAAAATCTCCCAATTTCTTCCCCCCTCCCTTTGTTTACTTTCTTTTAAAGTTTTTGATAATTGGTCATGAATCTTAGTTTAGTTATGTTCTGGATTTTATGTTTCTAGAACTATGCTATAGTCCATGCTTCATCTATACTACTACTGTGCTCCCATAAAATTAACAAGCTATATGAGCATCTCATCTTCAATACAAACTAGTTGCTGTAAAAAATGGAATCAGAAAATGGCGGTAATCGAAAAACTCATCTCATACATTTAGAACTTAAAAAATGAGTAGATAAAGAAACTAGAGGCAAGGAATAATAGGAAAGCAACAAGACAGAAAATAGAATATGAATTCTTGAAGGATAATTACCTTTCTAGAGTCTCCATTGCCACAAGATGCTTGTGCGGAAGATGCTTTTTTCCTCACATTGATGTTACTACCACTATCCTTATTCTCCCTTTCCTTCACTCCTGAGCCAGAGGCCTTAAAGCCCGATGTTGTGCATCGGTTTAACACGGTCGTTACCGATGGACCAGTATGATTTCTCAAGACTTCCAACTCATGTGAGATTCTAGAAATTTCATCATTTAATTTTCTTGAATCAACCTCCATTTTTTCCAACTTACTTTCTAGACCTACGATCGTACCATCTTTTTCACTATTCAATGATTGAAGTTGTTCCATATTAGCAAGAAGATTCTCTATCTTGGTACGTTCTAGTTCAACTTCTGTATGCTTTTGCCTTAGTTTACTTTTGTAGTCACTCTCCATAATGCTATACTGGTTCCATACAAACGACTTCTCTGCCAGAAGTGCAGTTACCTCAGAACTCCTTTCGGATGCAAGCTTTTCGTATGCATTTTCTAATCTCTGTACTTCCTTATTCAATGTTTCAGAATGTCGGGTTTTTTTGATAGATTTTCTGCTATTCAATGAGCTTCTTGAAGGAATATCCTGCAACTATTTGAAAATTACAATAACAGAGTTTTAAAGTGAAAACAATATAGAATTCAAAAGATATTGGGGAACATACGGATGGATCGGATATTTTACTACAGAGGAGGCTAAATAATTCTTTGAAATCTTGCAGCTCACTGTTCGTTTGTTCTACACATGAGCAAAGTATCAATCGAGTAAGTAACCATCATCGATCATTGTTAGACTAAGAAGTGCTACAATGTCAAAATCAAAAACTACAAACCTGATATAATTTGACAAAGAAAACCTTCTTTCTGCTTCAAACTCATGTTTAAATCTGACTTTGATGCCTCAAGCGAGCGTTCCATATCTCGTAAAACCAAATCCCCTTTCAACTACACAGAAATCCCCAAATTCCTCAATAACAACAAACTAAAAATTTCCATGACATTATTCTTAATTCCGACCAAAAGAGAGAGGAAATTACAGTATGTACGATACCTGGCAGATATAATCTTCGTAAAGACGAGTATCTGAGGCCCATCGATCGTGTTGGATCACGATGCGATCTTCAAGAAGTTTGCGCTCTTTAACGAGGGTTTCGAGCTGTGTCTGTTGATTCTCTAACATCCGTATCAAAGCGCTGAAGATTTTCTCCCAATTCTTGCGTTGGGAAGAAGATTTCGAGCGCTTAATCGTGCCCATTTTCGATTGAATTCAAGAAGGAGAGTGCAATTCTGCTATGAGAGAGCAAATACTGAAATTCGACCGTTGTGATTTTCATTCAAATTCGTGAAAATTTCTCTCTTTAACTGGTCGGATCCCTCTTTTCAAGGCGGGAGTCACTATTGGGCCGAGCCTCTAGATTTGACACCGCTAAAGATTAATTTTCATATGTTCCACTGGTCTTCAATTTTTAATGTTGCTGTTTATGTAATAAAAATTTATAATTAGGTCCTTTCATAAAAAAAAAAATTATGATTGGTTTAAAAAAAAAGCTAATATGATATTAAATTATTGTTATATTATTTTTTTTATATGTGTGTACATACGATTTAAATTTGTCACTTATAATAAATTAATTTTATTAAAGTCAATGACATTTATCATGTTCTTAACTTGTCATAATTCAAAAGCTTGATATTTTGTAATTATTTTATTTGCTTTTTCTAAATTTTAAAATTGAAAATAATTTTATCTCCACGAGAAAAATTAAAATTGAAAAATTATATATATAAGAAAATGTTAGCATATAAAATTTGTCCTCTCTAACAACATTTCTAGCATCGCCCTTGTGATTGGTTCTATGGGGGTCAGTCCAATTTTACTTTGGAATAACATTCGCGTGGAATGTCCATGTTTAGATATATTAATAAAATAATATTTCTCAAAAAAAAAAAAATAATAATAATTTAATGGTACGGAAACTTTTTGTTAACAATTTTTTTGTATGTACTGATTTAATTGATTACCACATCATCTATTTTGTTAATCAAATTCTACTCTCTCTCTACATATATTTTTTACTTAATTTATAATAGTTCTTTTAAATTAATGGTTAATAATTAAATTAAAATATGTTTAAAAAATAGGTTAAAATACTAGTTTGGTCCATATACTCAGTTGATTTTAGTCCTTATATTTTTGAAATGTTCGCTTTGGTTTCTGTACTTTTAAACATTGACCATTTTGGTTCTTTCGTTTGATTTAAATCTCATTTTTTCTATCACAATTTCAACACCACATTATAATCAATATATTTCTTACAACGTGAACATTACTTTATACTAAATTGTTAAATTGTTTATGTTATTCTGCTAGTAGCTTCCAAATTTGTATTAAAATCTTGCGAAGAGGGACTAAAATGATCACATAGACTAAAATGAACAGAGTTAAAAGTATAGAGACAAAAATAAACATTTTCGAAATAGAGAGACTAAAATGAACTAAAGCTAAAAGTACCGGCATTATAATATATTATTTAAATAATAGAAATTAGGAATGGCTAAAGAAAAAAATCAGCCGACTTTTTAAAAAATAATAAATAAAAGAAAGAAAAACCCTAGGTACCCTTTCCTCTTCCTCCGCACGCTGGCTCACCCTCCCTTCTCAGCCGCTCAGCACCGCCGCCGCAGCCGCCCACTCGTGCCGCCGCCTCCCTCCTAGTAGTTCGCCGTGAATTTCTACTCTCCTGTTATTGGTATTCTCTCGATCTCTATCTCTGTCTTTCCAAGCGACCAGTAAAACCGAGCCGGAATGAGTCGAACTGGAACTGGATTGATTTATTACCAATTTCCGGTTCAGTTCGTATAAAATTTAAAACCGAACCGACTTACACCCTACTTCTCTTTCTTTCTTCCACCCATTCCGATATCATTGTTTCGGTAACTTGACTCAGAAATCTGGAAGAGCGAAGAGCAATGGTGGAATCATATTTTCAGGGTGTCACGTTGAGCACTGCCCCAATATACCCAAATGCCATTGCATGGTCTGATGAGAATTTAATCGCCGTTGCCTCCGGCCCCCTTGTCACTATACTGGTCAGTCAACCTACTGACCTTTTTTCTCCGGAATTTTATGTGTTAATGTTGGAATTTGTAGTTTGCTTTCAATCATTCTAGCATTTATATTTGAGTAAAATACTTGGAAGTTATGATTTGGACACTAAATAGTTTGTTTCTTTCTGGATTTGTATCTATCTCCTGTTCTTTCGGAATTATTTCCTTGGGAAGGTGTCGAGCTACTTAGGTTTGGATTAGTGAGTTCAATGATTTTTTATTAGTTTACTTTCTTAATTGTTAGAGTACTACTAATAGTAATGATAAAATTTACTTCTTTCAGAATACGCAAGCCTTTTACTTTCCCAATAATTCCGGAGAATGAACACTGAAGCTATTTGGTAGTTCAGTAATCAATGTCGGTTGTTAATTTTTGCAAATGAAGGCAGTAAAATGATTAACTTGCAAATTTTGCCCCCGACAAGCGCTTCTAATTTTGCTCATGCAAAAATTTTCAAGATTTGAGTCGGATATATGTTCTTTTTCGTTATTGGGATTAAAGACAATCAGTTAGCTAACGTTTTTGTCTAGTGTTAATATATCAAGGGATTATTTTTTAATTATTTTTTATCTTTTGTGAAAACTATGTAAAAGTAACTATTTTATTTGTTCTTATAGTTTGTCTTGATATTTGAATTTACATTGTGATTGAACCTTAGACATATGTATAACTTGTCTTGTCACTACCACATTGAGTATCAATGTCATACCTTATGTTGTTTTTTGTCATATGAAGCATACCATTTTTACATTTTCTTTCTCTAATCATTGCAGAATCCGACATCACCTTTTGGAGCACGAGGCACTATTACAATCCCTGAAAGTAATCCATTTCAAATAGGGGTGATAGAAAGGAAAGGTAACCTATGCATTCTTTCCGGATATGGGCTTAAGGGGAAGCAAAACGCCATTTACTTTGATCAATGAAATATAATGTAATTATTTTTTTAGCTTTTAGGTGAACTTCCTTGATAAGGGATTTTATAGTTCCAYAGTTTTTCTATATGAGCCAGTTCAAGAGATTTTTTGTTTGTTACGTCCATTAACTTTGAAGGTTGAGATGCCTCATCTATCCTTCTTCTGCTCCTTCTATTTTAGTGAGATGTTTTTATTTTTCTATAAATTAAAAATTCATGCATTCAGTATAATGTCAAGTTTTATTGGATAGAAATTGTTAGTATCCAATATTTTATYGTGCCTCACAACCAACTCATAAATTTTGATGTTAGTTCCCTCGATAAGGAAAGCAACAGTTGAAGATGTAGTCGAATTGTATCCCACATATTTCTTTTAGACTTGGAGTTTAAATAAACTAATAAGATTTTTTTTGTCACTGGACCTTTGATTTCACTTGAACTTGTTTACCATTTCGTTTATGCAAAAACCACATAATATCTTCAAAAGGAAAAATTAAAAGAAGATAATGGTTAAGGAATTCAATTGAAAGCAAGGTACTTATCAAGCAGTATAGGCCATTGGCCATGAAGGCACGTCAAAGCTTCACTGTCTACACCCCATTCCTTATACTTTTTGAAGTTCTGAAAAAATTATATGAGTTTCTCCTCAGAAAACCACATCATATATTTATTTGCTCTTGCATAATATCATGTTGGTTAATGCAGATTTATTTTCTAGTTGCTTGTTGCCAACTTGCTTAACTCGGGACATCCAACCTTCTGTGCGGTCCATCGCATGGTCTCCTCTTGGAATCGCTCCTGATGCAGGGTATAAATTTGTGGTTCTTAATTTTTTATTTTTTATTTTTTTTTCCATATGCTTTCTTTGCTGATGACTTGGTTTGATTGTCTATATATCTTTTTTTTGTCATGTTTGATCTGTTTAGTTTCCAATTTCCTTTTGGATCGGACTTCTGTTCACCTTACACACCTTTTTACCCTTGAAAGGTTCATTGAATTATCTATTTGTCAAAAAAAAGTTGTTATCAAGAATAATCGGTGGGTGCATGTTTCGTGACAGGTGTTTGTTGGCTGTTTGCACAACAGAAGGCCGTGTGAAGCTTTACCGTTCTCCTTTCTGTGATTTTAGTGCTGAATGGATTGAGGTATTCGCAACGAGAAAACTCCAGTTTGAATTCTATGGAAACAGGAGATATTCAACATTGTTTTATTCGATATTAAGAGCACCTAGATCTACTGATTTTGGAGATTTAAATCATAGTTTGTAGTTCTTTCTTTTGAGAAAACA